TAGGCTTGCAATGCTTTGCCTCTACATACTTGCATATGTGTACATATGTAGAGTCATATGTGTACACATACATACATATATGTACACACAAACCCCTGTCACTCTCATGTATACCATTTTTCTGTTCTGACTGATCTTTAAGGCATGCTTGCAGTACAACTTCTCTTGATTTAGAAAATACTGAATAAGCTGCCACTAACACCTTCAGAAAAAGAAACTACCATGCTTAAAAAGCTTGGCTGATTGCTTGGGCAGCCCCATCTCCTGCCTCCCAGCCTCCTACTAGTTCAGCCAAGCCCTTGCTCTCAGTCTCCAGCTTCCCACTGCTCCTGTCCCATGCAGCTAGGGGAGACCCCCAGGCATGGCTGATCTTATGGCACCACCAAAACCAGCTTCACTGGGGATACCATGTAAGCTATCAACCCTCCAGACATAGTGAGAAGAGCCCAGCAGCCAGCAGCCTGCCCTGCCCTCTCGGTTTCCACGTTTGTTTCTCTGCACTGAGCAATCCTGTGCAGCCAAGCATTTCTGTCTTGTCACAGAACAAAAACCCAAGAAAAACCCCTCAGTAGAATCCATTAATATGTTAATAAATAGGACTTGCCTGCCCTCTCTGGTCCAGAGCTGAGGCTCCCAGGAGGTCTGTTAATTTACCATGTTTTCCTATTACATGCAGTGCGCTTGGTTGGATTTTTTTCACCCCAAGTGTAAAGTGGGTGGAATGGTATCCACCATGGATGTCCACCATGGATGTCACCAGATTCAGAATAAACTATAAACATCTGCTTACATAATGAGATGAATGGGCTTAGTTCACAGAACTAGACATTTGATCTGTGGCTCAGCTTGGGTGCGGGAGATCCCAAAGCAGCTGTGAGCACCTCTCCCTTCTAGTAGCTGGTTAGTTCTAGTACTAATTTGAGGGTTGTGTGCACCTCCAACAGATGCTGATTGGAAATAGCTCCAAATAAGACACCAGCAGTTGAGGATAAGTAGGAAAGAGCAGCCAATACTGGATGTCAGGAGAGGCCAGGAGTGGATGTCATAAAACCCTGTGCTGTTTGGAGCGCTTTCATCCCGGGAATTCCTCAGTAGTTGGCTCATGAAATGCTGCAGCTGTTTTGGAAATGTTGGTAAGAGCAGTGTGGCCACGTGAAGTGGCTGGTCAATGGCTGTCAGTGGGGAGCTCCACATCCCTGTCTAGCTGGACAGGTGAGGCTTTCAGCAGATACCGCTGAAGCTTGATTTGCTCCCTTACCCAGAGAAAAGTTGAGAATTTGCCCCTTTGGCTTTCTCCTACTCCCATGCTGATCTGCTATCCTCACTGTAGAATGATGGAGAGTCAGCAGTCTGTATATCCTGGAAGCTGTAGGGAACCACTCTGCAAACACGGTTTCTGCTCCAAGAAAAGCCCAGAGCACTGTATGCATGCATTGTGCCACGGAGGCCAGAGACTCCAAAAGCCAGATTCCCTAAGCATGGATTCCAAGTCACTCCTCTCACATTAAAAATAAAAAGAAATAAAAAAGTTTTTGTGCAGTTTTTGTGAAACTTTGATCTTCCCAAACAGCTTTTACAGGAGGCTATTTTAGGTGCTGATTCTGTAACAGTAAAGTTATTGGACACATGATAAACATGGCTTAAGCTGTCGCTTGGAGCAATTCACATTCCTCAGGTGCTAAAGGCTTTAAATACTTCCTTTGGGCATGAAATAGATCTGCTGTCAAAGAAGCCAGCATTCCTGACAGTGGCTGTCCTACAGACTCCCACAGGAGAAAGTCTGCGGAGCTGAACTAGTCTGACCCCAGGAAATCCTTCCCACATCTCTCATTCTTGCTTGGTTTCTCCTTTAATTTTCAGAGTTTGCTGAAAGGCTGTTTGATGGTTGCTTATCTTCCTTCCCGTGCACTTTCTTGGTCTTCCTCTCTTATATTAATACCACATTAAAGCTGGGATGTGAACCATGCAAGTTAGGAAGTCCAAGATGCTCTTTCAGAGACACTCAGTCAACACTGTTAATGATTTCTATCAACTTCCTTTGTTGTCTTTGCTAGTAACACAAATGGCTGGTTGCAGACTAGAGGTAAAGGCATTTATGCACCCAGCAGGTAGCATCTCTCCAGGGAATCCTAACTCTTGTGGGCCTATCTTTGTCCATATAAACTAAAAATTCATTCAGAGATCTCCAACTGATTTTTCAATAACTTTAAAACATATGCATGTTTCCTTCCTTTTCTTTTTTTAACACTGCTACAGTGTTATCATGCTTTACAACAATTTAAGGGCTTTTCAGTGTTGGTGTTGCTTTGGGTTCCAAAGTACATTAGCTGTTTCTTCACAGTCTAAAAAAATTACTATTGTGTAACAAACTCTGAATTTGCTCCATTTATGGTTGGGTTGGGGATTTTTTTACATCTTATTAAACAGAGAAAAATTTGGGAATTCTGGCTTCAATTCACAGTGTACAGGAACATCAAAGCTTTTATCCAGCTTACTCTTATTTGAGCTCACACTGGTGTGTTGGTCCCCATTTCTGCCTCCATAAGAACACCCTTAGCCACTTGTACACTTATCTGCACCTCCAGAGCTGCTAAAATTTCAGTCTGTAATTTATCCTTCATCCTAGCAAATTCATGAATGGGGTAGACACCAAGTGCTCCTTCCTTGCATTGCTGGCTTCTGGCTGGCACTGTCCTCGCTGCCGTTAATCAGTATTTTATTATACTAACGGGAATAAATCCATCAGACTTTCACTTGTACCCTTCGTGCAAACACTTGTTTATGAATCAACAGCCCTAACTGCATGTCTCCACAAAGTTGCAGAGAAAATGGTATTCTGGCCCCGTTTCGACCACATGCTCCATCTGGTTACAAGCTGAAGCCAAGTTCTTTTTCCACAGGCCAGACACTTCTTACTCAGGGAACTGAGGGAATAATTAATGCAACTTTCTGTAAAGCCAGCTTGTGACCATTCGTATTCACCCGAATCCATATTCACCCCTTTATTTTTCTGAGTAGGATTAATAGGAAACATCACGGAGTGCGAGGGTGGATGCTGAAAACCAGAGTTCAAACACGCCGTACAGATTTCTGTGGTCCAGAAATCGAGCGCCACAATGCGCGCTCGGAGGAAAGGCTGTAAATCACTTTGATTGCGGACCATCGCCATCTACAGCTGAGGTGTCAGGTCAAAACCAATCTTCACTCCCAACAGCCGCAGCAAACCTCCATCGACGCCCCTCCACCCTCGGGCCCGCCTCCCCGCACGCCGCGCCAGACACGCCCCACACGACAGCTCCCGCCTTCCGCCGAGCTTCCGGAGAAGGCCCGCCTGCTGCCGTTACAGGCCGCGGCCGGCCGAGGTGGGGAAGCGGCCGGCAGCAGGGTGGGGAGGCCCCGGCAGGTGCGTGTCCGGGGGGCCGGGCCTGGGCGGGCTGAGGTGAGGCGGCTCCGGCTGCTGACGGGGGGCTCCGGGCCTTGCGCCCGCCGCTCTCGGGAAGGCCGGACCCTGTTCCCCGCCGCCGCGCTGCAGCTCGGCGGCCTGGCTCCCGTTAAAAACACGAGGTGCTGTTCTGCTTAATAGTGATGTACTTGTGGGCTGCACGTAGTGCCACCATAACCGGGTTTGCATACAAAGGTTTCACTGCAAAATTCGTAAGTGCTTCCCGTGGATCTATCCGGAAGAGCTGTTAGGGATCTTGCATTGCCTTTGTAGCTATCGGTACTACTTACTGCTGTGGTACACACCTGTGTATGGGAATGACCCCTTCTAACACTGTAAACCCATACATTTTATGTATGTTGTGAGCTAAAGATACTACAAAGACTATGCAATCAATGCTAAGGGAAAGGTAATACCCCCGTTTTCTGAATACATTTCAGGTGTGGGGGCTGAAGGCTGTGATCACCTGGGTAGATAAGGTGTATAAATACAGTTGGAGTGAGGTTGCGCTGTGTCCTGCTCGCTCTTGTGTCTCCTGCAGAGAGCTTCCTTTGCTGTTTTTGTATGTGATTAAGTAAAGAGATGATGAAATTGGTAATACATGCTCTAGAGATTTTTGGGAAAGAGTTTGGTCACAGTTGAGTGCTCTAAGAGCAGCTGCTTTACAGATGTGTAACAGAAGTGGTACAGTTTGGGCCCTATACGGAGGAAGAATACCCAGTCCACAGAAATGTGCTGCAAACCTGTTCTAAAAACCCAAGTCTTTTCTAAATAAGATGGCCGGGTTAGAAATAAGGCTCTTACGGCATAACAGGAGCACCTTTGTGCTCTGCTGGTTCAAATCAGCGTCTGACTCAGATTTTCACAGCCTCTACAGCCATCAGCAATTTGATGGTTTCCTGGAAGCATCTGTTTATAGAGGAGACTTTTGCTTTTGTTCCTCTGAAGTGTTCTGTCTCACTTGCCATTAGCAAATTATTGTTACATATAGTGTATTAGGCAAAGCTGTGTGGGAAATTATCCTCTCCTCTGATGCTTCTTTGTTTATACAGGGTCTGAAGGCTTTGTTCTAGTGTTCTAATGTTCCTGGTGGACATTACATCAGTTATTTCTCTTTGCCTGCATTTACACTTGTATTTCTGCAGACCATCGTCTGTTGAAGCTCTGATCCAGTGTTCTGTTTTCTTCCTGTAACTGTTTCATGGTGTCCGGTAATGCAATGCAAGTGGACACCAATACTTTGTTAACAGGCGTATACTGTATAGATTAATCCTGAATTGCTAAATGTAGGATAAGCCTTCCCTCTACAAGCAAGAGACTTTCTCACTAAGGAGAGAGGCTCATAGGATGTGCATTGAGTCAGTCCCAATTTAATCGCCTTGAGCAACACCTTAGCTGTTAGGAGCCCGTCTCATGACTGATTACAAATTGTGGCTGGGATTCCCCCCACGTTTTTTTTAGGAGCACTCAGGTTCTTTGTGCAGAGCTTGAGTACTGAGGCCTTTCCTTGAGTACCTTGGCCTGAAATTAGCTGTTCTTTAAGTTAAAGACTTCTCATTGGACTTCACACAGTCCTTTGTACAACTGCATGTGGAGCAGTTTATTTCTCTGAGCCTAGGGCTGACTTCTCAGGTAGAGGTGTGAGAACCCTCTGCTTCAGTGCTTATGGAGGGAGCAACTCCAGGATCCTTTTTCAGGTAAATCTTTATGTCTTTGCTGTTTATGTTTTTCTTCTTAGTCTTTAAGTTACTGGTACTTCAACAGGAACTCTCTTTGTGGCTCTTGTTCAGATGTATGAGCGTGAGTCACAGGTTTTCCTTCTTTTCAATGAAGGCTTTGGTGAAACATCTTTGGTCATTGAGTCAAACCCCCATGCCAAAACTAAATTATTTCTCATGCAATATTAAGATTTGAGGAAGGAATGCGTTTTATAGGGTCGTTGTTTAAGATGGGTACCTAAGACTGGAGTCCAACTAGTTCTTTGTCCGCTTATATAGCTCTTTCAGAATCTTCTACAAACCAGGAGTGTCCTCACTGCCATCACAGAGGTAGGGAAGAATACAGCTTAAGAGCTCTTGAATGATTAGCTCAATACACACAATGTACATTGCTACAAATAATGTAGCTATAAAGACAAAACCCGAACTGCAGATGTTTTTGAGTCTATATGTCCATTTCCTGATCAGTGTTTGTGGCTTCTCTAAATGCTGCCTTGGTTAAATGCTGGCTTGATTAACTCAAATCTCAGGAGGCTGAGCTAGCTAACATCCATTAGTGTTTTATTTGTTTTCATTTAATATGCATGTTTGGCAGTCAGTTAAAAATAGCAGCTAAAATGTTGGTGGGGGGAAACAGAACAAAAGAAAATTATTTAAGAGAATCAACCAAAATGGAGCATAATTTTGCTGTGAAGGCTTTTTTTCATGACTTTCCATCACTCTCCTTCATTGTTATCTTCTTTGTTCTTTACAAAAGAAAGGGTAAGATTCATTCCAGAAAGCTCAAGATGTCCAGCAGGCAGTAGGAGCGAGGACTGGAATTGGAAGGACGTCTTGCAGGAAATTACATCTCCAGTATGTACAAGCTTTACAGTACTTGTACTTACAAGCACTCAGTAAGGTGAATAAAAGCATTATTTTTGTCACACTTTTGAGATATTAGTAGAATTGCACATAGTGTCCACGTCTGTCGGGGGAGAGATTGACTTAGTATTTATGGTTATGGTATATTAGCTCCTACCTGCACTCTTTTTTTTAAGTTGTTGTTTTTTTTTGCCTGCTTCTCCAGCACTCCACACTCTTTTTCCAGGACTGAACTTACTTCTGGTTACTAATAGGTTAGACTAGACAGGAAAGGTGGCTGGAAATCCTTTTTGCTGAGAATTCAGGGATCTGGCTTAAAATGAAATGTCTGTGTAAGAGGTTATGGAATTAATAGACAATGGAGAGGAAGAAGTTGCCAAAGCAGATGAAGCCTTTAGGGAAAGTGATGCTAATGATGGTCTCAGCAGCTGATGTATCCCTACTTTTTAAAGAGTTCTAGGGGATATCTGTGGACTGCAGACCTAGACATTTGAATTAGTAGAAAATACAGCAAGGTAAAAGTATTGGACAGCTGCATAAATACTGTATGGTGGGAGAAAAGCCAGTGTGGCTTTTGTAATGGAAAGCCATGCCGTAAATGTCTCAATAAGCATGTTGAGAGGTCTGGCTTACAGTCTGTACTCAGATTGCAGGAAGCTTTTAAGCAGGAGCCCTCACCTGAGCAGCCCTTGACATAATAAGGGAGTTCCCTGTCATGAACAGTTGGTGCAAAGATAGGAAAGAGGATGTGAGCTGGCTTTACATTATTTAAGGTGGAACAGGGCTGAGGAAGATGAATTGCAAATGTAAACTGATTCATGTGGGTGGAGAGCAGTCCTGATTTCACACACAAAATGAGTGAGGTTTTTGAGCCATAATGACTAATTCTGTGAAGCTTTCTTCGTCGATAAAGTCTCCGTTTGATAGTTTTACACAGGCTCAGGGAAGACTGCATAAGCTCACAAAGTACACAGGGACTGCCTGGTTCAGAGGGTCCTGGTTGAGAGATGTGGAGGATGTGTTGGGGAAGCACTGCGTGCTTATTTTGTTGTTCCATCAGCTACCAATTCTGACCTGTGCTGGAGAGCAGGATAGAGAGGCGTCCTTTGGTCTGACCCAGCATTGACCATTCATACATTCACATGTATAATCTGTACAACTGGGAATTACTATGAGGAATTGCCTCTCCAGAACTGGCAACGTGTTCTGATGCATATTTCTGCATCATGCTATCAGGAGATATATGTGTGTGAGGAAAACTTCCCATCTGCAGGTATCTGGACCTGTGAGCCAAAAGTACATGCAAATTACAGGTGGGATTTTTTTTTTTCTTGCCACCTTTTAGTGAAAGCTCATTAAGTACATAAGGAAACACCTACAAATGCAGTCTTACTAGAAGCATTAAAGAAGCCTGTGTAGACTCTGTGCCTTGACTACAGGGTGTATCTGCTGCTGAGTTGCATTTTACATGGATTTTCAGTGTCTCTCTGATTCTGGCTTTCAGGGTCCCTGAACACTTGCCTTGGACTACCCCAGCAGTCCTGAACACTTCAGGCACTGTGCAGACATATTCAGCTCTTTATCTGCCTTTTCTGACTTCCATACTTCTTTTTGTGCACGTGCACACACATGTGCTTATCAACTTGTATCTAGTTTGGTTACAACAGGATTAGTAAAAAGCGATTAAACCCACACCTGGTTCCTGTTTGAGGCATAGAAATAGAATTTGTTTACTGTCCAAGCAAGAAAATCTAGATAGAAATGAAGTTGCAGAGTTTTGTCTGTGGATTTCCACATGAAGAGATCATGTTTCTTGCTTCCCAAATACATGAGGCTTAGGCACCTTACATGTACTGTCTTCTACAGCATGCTTTTTCATAGGTGAGAAGGATTTGTATATACAAGAAGCATCCTTTTTAGAAAGTGTGGATAGGCTTTGAGGCATAGAGTTTTATGTTTCATATTTTGGTATGAACAAGCAGGGAGACAAAGGGTAGACTGTTCTTTTTCTACTGCAGTCCCCTTATTCCATGTTTTTGCTTTTAAAGCAGTCATGTATGTGACCCATTTCTCATGACTATAAGGAAGTTTCCTACTGCTCTTTCTGATGAGAGTTGAAGATGCTGAGATCTGTCTAGGATCAGCCTATGGCAATGAAATCACAGGTACCCTAAGGCTGCCAGTATAACATTTACATGAGAGCACCTGCAGCTTTTAAGAATTACTTAATTGGAAGTGCAGTCGGTGCCAGGAAACTCGGGTCCGGTTTCTGATATCACATTCCATAAGAGCACAAATTACCAAATGAGTTAATGCTTCACTCAAATTGGCCGTGTTTTCAGCATGTCTTTATGTGCAGCTGATGAACTGGAAGTTCTAGTTAATACTGTCAGAGAAGTCTGGGGGTACTGTCTTCAGTGTGAAGGATTCCCTTGAATGGATCTTTTAGAGGGTCAGTCTGATACAGAGCAGTGTTCCTCCTCCATCCCTGCCTTCCTGAAACCTTTTTTCCTATTTGCAACCTTTTTTCCTATTTGCATCCTTTTTCCTAGGCAGGGCTCTAGTTTGTGAAGGCCACCAGGCAATTCTGTCTGAGGCAGGCTGGTGACTTAGGACAAAACCTTTAAGAATTCCCACCAGGTGAAAGCACAGTTCAGAGCAGAATACCTGGCACAGAGCTGGCCATTCTATGGCAAGTCTCTGACATCACTGAATTACTGCAGTAAAGAAACAGGCGTTTAGAAAAAAACATGCCATCTCTCTGCCAGTCGTGCCTGTGTGATTGGGGGTTTTTGCTGCCTATTTTTATATGTTTATGTCTGGATTCTTCTGAAGTGAAGTGTAACACTGTTAAGGAATTGGCACTGGGGATCCTGAGTGTAGCAATGCTGCCTTGGTTTTTCAAGGAAAGTATCGCTGGTGGAGCTTTCTTTGTGAAAAACATCAGAACAAGATAAAGATTGGTTTTGATGGTGAAAGTTTTTGTAATAATTTTTAAAAGTTGATGATCTGGTGAAAAATGAGTGCTAACAGCTATGTAACTATGTATATACTTCCCTTGCAGGTTCGGCTGTATGTAGCATTCTTTCTCCATTTCTAATTACGTATGATGTTCAACCTTTACTTTTTCCCATATATCTACATGTGGTTGAATTTCAGAACTGATGAGGCATCTTCAAAAACCTGGTGTCTTTGTATTCTCTTGTAAGAGTCACTTTCCAAATCTAGTGCCAATGGGGGAATTCTAAAAGTTTGGTTTCAGCTTTTTTGTGTATTCTGTATAGGAAAACTGCATTCCCTATTGTTTCCATAACCTTGTATATAAGAAAAGTAAAGAGCATCTCCAGCAACACCCGAGCTGTGAGATGATCTTTTGCTAGACAAGTAGAAAACTGCAAATTGTTCTTGAGTTTGAGCTAATGAGGCACTGTTTGTATCATCTCCAGCTCCAAAATCATAGTCTGTTTCAGAGTACTTTATACAGTGAATAAATGTTTGTTCCTGTTCAACAGGTATAAAGACTGTGGCACAGAAAAAGAAACATTAACTTTTTGAAGCTTGCATAGTAAATTGGTGACAAACCTAGAAGAACAATTGCAGGTTACGTGGTTTCCTCAACACACTGTTGACTGAAACAGACTACTCTTCGTCTTTCTGGTAGGCTGAATTTAAAGCTTAATTTCTGTTTGTGGAGATTCTAACAGAGACATTTCTACAGCATGATAAACAAGTTTGTCACCGTGACTGTGAATAGGGTATCTCCCAGTTCAAATGTTCTGTGTCCTGTGGAGTTTTAGATTCTACTTCAGCTACGTTATTGCTTAAAATGATTGACATATGATTTTGTGGACTTCGTAGGTCTGCACAATTTTTGAGGTTGTTGTTTCCTATTTTTTTTGCTGTTTAACAGATTACATTAGTTGTAGGTAAAAAGTACTTAGTATTGCTTCATCCTTGTTTTCAGTTTCTGAATTTCCTAACCTAACAGTTAGCCAACTTATTTTTATTGCTAAGAGGAACAGAGTTGCTTTTTATCTGCAGTCCTTCAAAGATGAATACTCAAACAGCAGTCTTCTGTTTGCTTATCAGCAGATCCCAATATTTGCCTAGCCTGATGTAGACACAGCTAAATCTGTCACCTGCTTCTGTAGTTTCCCTAGGTTGTCCAATGAGCTATAGCTTTCTGATGCATTGCTGTGGAGAGATGTGTAAAAATAAGTTTGTGGAAATGAGTTACTTTTAAATAAGCTTTATATTCTTTATTATATCAATTTTCTAGAACTATGCCAAGGAAACGAAAGCTGTTGGCTCAGTTAAGTGCTCTCCAAAGTGACTCCAGCTTCCCTTCCTTTGATGCCCTGGGGAACCTGAACGCTAAACCTGATGGTGATTCTTCTCCAAAAAGCAGCAAATATTTTGCAGCAGAGAAAAAAAATTCTTCTCATGTAGAAGCAGATTTTTTCAACCAGCCCTGTATTAGCCTGGCCAAGTCCTTTCTGGGACAGGTAAGACACCAACGCTGGGATTACTGTACTGGAGCATGTGCTAGCTAATAACTTAGTGTAACAGGATAAAATTCTTTTTTTGTCATTTGACTCCAAGACTTTGCTACTTTAGGAATACAGCTCTCATTCCTTCTCTTGTTAAATGCAGTGGAATTTAAAGACTAGTAGCCCAGTCTATTTTGAATGGAATCAGAGGAGTAATTTTACAGGTTTCATTTACTGTTGCATTTCAAAATTAGTTTCTGTGGATTTTTTCTCCCTTTTTTTCTGGTTTGCTGAAATATACCTTGCTGTTTATGGTTTGAAGGTTGTTTCAGGCCCATTATTTTCCTTTCAAGTATTCCTTTATTTGTTTTTGGCTCTTGCTTAGCTCAGCGTAAAGTAATGCTCTGCAATCAGCAACATCTCCTTCTCTGCCTCCCTTTTATTATCTTGTGATGCTAATAGCATGGCAGGTCCTCAGCCTTCCTTGACCAGTATCCACTGTCATAGTGTACTTGAGTATTTCATTCTTATCTGCAAGTTCAGCAGACTGCTTGGTACTTTCTTTCCTGCTGCCCTGTATGCTTTGAAAGTTGTCTGTCATACTACTGGCTTTCATTTCTGCTGTTCTGAGTAGCTCGGCATTGTCAGTACACATGGTGAGGTTTCTGATGATCACTTCTCTGAGGTTATTACAACCATGTGAGGCAGCACAGGCCTGAGCATGGAGATGTTTAGGACTCTACAGTCCCACAGTTAAACAATCTTCACTCCAAAACCTGTTGTTCCTATCTTCTCTTTCTGAGTTTTAAAGACATTACTGGTTCATGAAAGGACCTTCTCCCTTATCCCATTCTAGAAGCTTTGAGGAATCTCTGAACTTGTTGAAAGCCTTTGGAAATGAGAGCAGGGGAGATGAAACATCTCTCTTCTGCTTAACGAGTCCTTCAAAAAACTCTCCCACTCTTTCCATGGGAGGGAACTCCTCCAGTGTTTTCCCTGCAAAATGTTCCAGTATGGGACTTCCTAAATACAATTGCAAAACGTGTTTTTAGTTTCACTGCTCTGGTCTTATCTTCTCTTGAGTCTTTTCTTTTTTTTTGTACCTTTATTGTTGGTAGTGTGAACAGCCCCTCAGGGTTCTCATTGGTTTACACAGCTCTAGGAATTTGTTCCACAAACTGTTGGGTTTGGCCTCTCTTGCTGTGTCTAGCGCTTTATTTTATTTTCTAAGGATATTGTCTTGCTTGTAATTGATGCCTTTGCTCTGCTTTTTAACCCTGCTGGGTTCTTTTGGTCTGTCTTAACCTCTCTCTGATACGTCATGTGTGTTTGCTATCTTTATAGACATCCTGCTAGAGGTTTGCCTTTCCAGCTTTGACCTTTGGCTGCCTCTTCCAAGTTCTTCCTAACAAGTTTCCTCACTTTATGTAATTTCCCCTTTCTGCTGGTAAGCAGAACTCTGACAGATTATTTTTGGACCTTGATGCTTGTGGAAGGACACTGAACTTCATGGTCATGACAAAAGTTGTTTTCAGGGATAAGTCTTTGGGAAAGACTTTGCATTTTACTCTGGATAAGTTTGAGAGCTTAGTCTTCTTTTGTGAGATGCCCAATTGCTCACTCTGCAAAGCATCTGATGCTGTCTGAAAAACCATCATTTGTGTCCTGTCCTACTGTGATATTTACTTGGTCTATATGAGGATACCTGAATCTCCCAATACTGGTGCATTTTTTGTTGTCTTAATGACTCTGACAACCTTATGACATGCAGTTACCCTGGGCAGATATTTTAGTGCTAATTCTGTAATTTTTCCTATTAAGGCCTAGAATTACATGCCAGGCAATTTCTATCTTAATTTTAGATTTTCTTAAAGTATAACCCCCAGTCTCCCATGACCGATTCTATTCTCTCATTTTCTTAGAGTTCAAACAGTAATGGTATTTTAGTGTTTTAATTTGTTATCTTAATTTACCAAATTTTGAGGTGTCTGATATAGTAATATTGCTTAACCTTAAATGTGATACTTCAGTTCTTGGGAACAAAAAAAAACAAACCAAAGCGTACATGCAGTAAATGGCCTCTCAAAACAAACTGTCATAACAGCAAGATACATCCTCAGTGCGAAATAAAAGCCTCTATAAAATAGTTTACTGTGAAGTATTGTGAATGATCACCATTCTTTAACTGTGAATATTTGGTGTGTCTGAAGACTCGGGGAAATGCCTGAATGCTTTCAAAATCGTAACTTAACCACTGTATTTCATCACAGTGAAAGAGCAGTGTGGCCACATGGGTGTGCTTTTGGCATGTTTACAGGCAATTGCAAAACACCAGTGCGTTTTTCATAAAAATAATAAACTGATTATTTTCGACAATATGAGAAGCACTGCAGGGAAATGGTGAGAGACCAGAGTGGCAACATTTGAGACTGACTGCTGGAGCATTCATACTGGATCTGGTCAGTAATTGCATTAGCAATCCAGCACAAACATCTGTTAGGAATTGAGCTTTGTTTCTTGAAAGTAATTTTTTTCAATGGCTGGTTTTCCAATATGGAAGTGCTGAATGTAGTAGAATGAAACTGATAGCTGTTGCCTAAATTAGACTATACTGCAGAATTTCTGAAACACGAATAAAATAAGTTTAGAAATCAGGTCAAACCGCAAAAACCTTTGTATGAAGTTTAGTGATTGTTTTCTTTTTACAGAGAATATTCTCAGTGTCGCAGTTTTTACCCTCCATCTGCTTTGTTTTATTTAAGGAGGTACCAGCAGCAAGGAACACACTGTAATAACAAGGATCTGTTGTTGTCTGCCTGAAGCCAATTCCCAGCTCTCCCGCACTGCCTCTCTCCGCGGTGCAGAAAATACAGAAATAGCATCAGTACTCACTCTGGTCGTGATTATCTCTGTGGTTAGGGAGTAGGACTTGTTTGAACCATCTCTGTGGAGAGAGACTATCTAATCATAGCAGTTATTTAATTGTGCTACTCTCATGTTTCTCCTGATCTAAAGAATACATTCATGATGCTTCAAGATTGATATTGGTGGTGCTTTTTTGCCTTAAACCTGGTGGATTGCGGTGGAGAATAGAGAAAATAACCAAAATAACCACAAATCAACTCTGTGGGCTTTACTGTATATAGGATTATAAACTGATTTTTTATGATACTGCCACATCTAGACACTCCAGGCATTTCACGGAGTTAATGACAGGTAGGAACTTCTTGTACTGGGCTGTGGCCTGGCCAGCAGAAGCTGTTAGCTTACAGACTGAGCTGCTTGCTGGAGAGGAGAGGATGCAGTACTATCAAGTCCTTTTTTTCCAGTTTCTTTGTTTCCCCAGCTTGTGGGCTCTGGTTATTTTGCACAGAGGGTTGCTAACTGATGCACTCTGACCTCTCTTTCAGATTTTAGTTCGCAAACTTCCTGATGGCAGAGAACTCTGGGGGAGGATTGTTGAAACAGAAGCTTATCTGGGTGGGGAAGATGAAGCTTCCCACTCGAAAGGTGGGAAGCAGACTCAACGAAATGCAGCAATGTTCATGAAGCCAGGAACTCTGTACGTGTATCAGATCTATGGGATTCATTTCTGTGTGAACGTTTCCAGTCAAGGTAAGTTGAGGCTGAAAGAGTTTTAATACCTACAGCATAGGGTTGATATTTCAAGCTACATCTGCCATGTTGCTGTCACTTGTGAGCTCCCTATGGGCTCTGTGAACTCAGGGACTTGCTGTCATCTTCTTCCCTTAGGACCTGGGTTTTGCTGTTGGGAACAGTACATAACTGTGGACAGACAGTGTATTAACTTTGGATATTACAAGCAGGGCCCATCTCCAGCTGCACAGCAACTAGCATGGTAGGGTTTTGGTCCCAGCTGTGAGTTGTTCAGGCCCAGAAAGACAGGAAGGTCTGGAGAAGAATCCTGATAGGATGGAGCTTTCAGTTTCAGTGACCTGGACTGCTGCCTCAATTGGGTGGTTCAGTGACCTCTGTTCCTTGAAAGTGGTGATGCAGAATTTGAAGTCTTAATGACAGCCTAAATCTTGGTGTCATCATGATAAGAAACTCTTCTGTCTCCTACATTCATCTTCAGAAGATGGGGAAAACAAAGAGGTCTGAGATGTCCTAAGCTTAAACAAAAAGTCAGTATAGGAGCATTTTAGCTGCTTTGTTGTTTCTTTAAACAAAAAATCAAAATACCCAGACTGTTACAGAATCTTCCATCTTTTATTATTCTCAATATAATCAACCCCTAATCAAATTATTTTAGAAATTACTGAGACTCTCTCCTTCCTCAGCCTCTTTTAACATTCAAGTGTTACTTCTAAAACTTGGGGTTTTTTTCTTTCCTGTAAGAATGACAGTGTTTGCCTTGCAGCAAAGTTACTCATTAATGGGATGCTGTAAAACAGCAGCAGGTATTTCTTAGATAAAAACTCATTTTGTTAGGAAAAAAATTCAACAGTAATTTCTTTTGTTTTTTGCCATTTCAGAGATACAGCTTAAGAAAACCCACTGCTCATGTGTTCCAAAGTGGAAAGCAAATGTTGTAACTGTGACCGTTAATCCTCAGGTTTTGGCCTTTGGACAGGAGCCAAGCAGAAACACAGGGCCAGGTTACAGTGTGGGGGAAGAGCTTGTCTTCCTAAATGGAGGTCTGGAGTCTGGTGAATGAACACATGTGGGTTTCATTACATTGTCCCTGCCAAATCTGTTCAGATAATGAAAGCAGAATGGTTTGTTATTCAGGATGGGTCTCTTAGTACTTGAAATACTAGGGATAATAATTTTTATTAAAAAAAAAAGATGCTTAGCCCTTGAATTCTAAAAAAAATTATTTGAAATTTATACTCTGGGAATTTTTCTCTTACATACCTGTGTTTAGCTTTCTAGCAAATCAGTTAGAACTCGCTGTTGTGATGGATCTAGTTGGGACTTTTTTGTTATAAACTTATTCTCCATTAGCCTGCCATACACACAGCTATGTTGACACCAAGCACAGCTGTCACTACCAGCTTTGTCAGGAACACACTGAGGTAAACAGCATGGCTGTGCGTGTTGTCTGTCACAGATGCATCTACATAAGCAGGATATACTCCTTCAGTGTATTTGTCCATGTGCAGATGTGTTGAGAGAAAGAATCTGGGGAGGAATCGTACACAAGATGCTTTTCTCACCTTAGTATAGGTGGAGAAGAAGCCTGTCCTGTCATTTAGTCTGAGGAGTTTGTCTTTTGCGGTGGCACTTATGCACGTGGGTCAAAGTGAAAAGCACTTAATTCTTTGGATATGGGACAGATCTTGGAAACTTTGTTTCTGGCTTTGGCTGTGCACAAAACACATGGAAACACTGGCAAAACCAAAAAACCTTGTTGTGGCATAGCTTGGTCCTTAGTAGCGCAGATCATGCTCTTATAGCAAGAATTCCCTAGGAATGCTGTGAAAACCTGAGTGACTGACCAGGAAACTATAAAAGGAACATGAACATGGTATTTCTGAAGGTGTCACTTTGGAAAGACACAAATTACTGAGAGAGCACTAAATGCTTTTCCTTTTCAAAGGGTGCATCTCCAGTGAAGTCCCAGAGCTGCATCACTCTTTTCTTGGATTTTGGCTGTGCAAAGTTGCAGACCACCAGGAGTTAAACAATGAACATGGAATGGTTGCATCTATTCCCATGTATTGTCTTCTGCCTCCTGTGATCTACTAGGATGTTTCATATTTTCCCCTCAACTGTCCAAGCTGAAGGGTTTTACTCAGTTATTCTGTCCTTAGGCTTTTGCTCCAAAGCCAGTCCATAACTTTAATCGTGGTTTCCTGTCCCTGAATCTCTTCCAGTTCTGTTTATAGGTTTCTGTAGATGGAAGGGTGGAGCAGAGCAAGTCTAGACATGCACATATAACAGCAGAGCAACTTGCTTTATACAAGTAGTTGGGGTTTACATCTGGGAATACTGTATGGCATTGCCACAGCAAAGTGTAGTGAAGAGCGGAGAAGAAAAGGTCTTGGGGGTTTCCTGATGTTATCATACACACAAATTGACCCTGTCTTAACCCATTTCAGTTTTCACCTGGATGCATATTAGCAAAGTTCATATTGAATGACGTGAGAATTAGGGGAAAACCTGAGGTTGATTTCAGGAGAAATCAGTTACAGAGATTTTCCGAATGGATCTTGAAAGATGTTTCTGTTTGGCCATCAGGTGGCTTGCATCAAAATACTCATGCAGTTGTACATCGATTTTTAACAAAGCATGGATTTCTGGAGACGGTTGGAGCAAGCACAGAGATTTAACTGAGATCTAGGATGGGTTGAGGTGGTTTAGTAAAGTTAGCACTGAGTAATAATCACAAACAACTTCTCAGCTGGCTTAGATTAATCTAGTTTGAAGTGTAGGCAAGTGCTTTTGCTGCTTAAATTACAGGATCCTTGTGGGAGGAAGGCAAGCAATTCAGAGAACAAGTATAACCTCATCAGTACTGGCAGTGACTGCTGTGCTGCTGCTTCTCAGACTCTTGAGTGACCATGGAGCTGATCTGGAGCTGCCAGCTTAATGGAAGCAGCTGCCCTTTGGCTGGACAGAGATCAGAGTGCTGCGCTGTCCCTGGTGTCTGTGCCTACCTTCTTGGAACAGACACTGCACAGGGCAGTCCCAGACACATGCTGCTGGGACCAGGCAAGCAGCATGAATTGGACTGCTGCAGCAGACTTTTGTTTTAAAAACAGTTTAACACTGCCTTTAGTCATTACGGTCTTTGATCAGCTCAGGATCTGAGGCCTATATAACAGTCTGACTTTGCTGTGATTTGTTTCTCTGGAATCTGCCAAGGTGTGCATTTTGCTGCCAGATCTGAATGAACAGCTTGTGAAATCAAGATCCCCGTGATGCTTTACCCTGGCCCAGTGTCACACTGCATGGTCTTCCCCCTGTCTTGCAGATCTTAGACTAGGAATTTGAAGGAAGTGTTTTGGGAGCAGCGAGAGTCAGATGGGTGGAGACAAAACTTTCTTCCCTTCAGTGGCCAGAAGTTGTTTCCAAGAATGGGAGCTGGAGCCAGTCCAGGGAAGCAGCATTAAGCCGTGCTGTGGGGGTGTGGGACTTCCCTCCTATTGGTTTATGATTTCTAGCTGCTCAGGGAGAGAATTTGCCTCAGCATTGTTGTTAGAGCCCAGCTTTTAGCTCTGAATGCTACTCATTATATGGAGTGACTCTTCAGCATGGGTGGTAGATACTCTGCCTCTCTGGACTGGCACTGCTGCTGATAGCATGTCAGTGGCCGGCCGTATCTGTGTCAGGCAGATGCTGAAGCCAGATAACCCCTGAGAGCAAACTGCTGCAGGCTGTGGGAGGGAGAGTGGCAGCTGAAGCATTCTGGCAGGCAGGAGTTGAGTCGGAAGGAAGCTGCTCTTTGGTAGTTAAAATAAAACTTCTGATGTGCAGATATGCTCAGAAGGACCCAAACATGAGCCTGGGGGTGTGGGGACAGATGGGGGAAGAAGGCAGTAGCTCATCATGGCATCCCTGCACTCATCTGCTGTCTCCACATCTACCCAAAGCTCTTGTGGTGTTGCTGTCACATTTGGGGACTGCTGGCTCTGGGCAGAGCATGGTGTCTGTGTTGCAAATAGAGACTGCAAAAACTATCTGGTGGAAATGCAGAGACAGAAATGCTGCGTATCCCCTGCCGGGGCTCTGGGAGCACCTGCAGTTTCTCTGAGTGCTTGTCTCTCTTCACGTGAACTCCCAAGGCCGCAGTTCAATTCAAGTGTAACCACGGTTTCCACTTGCATTTGTGAGGGATGAAAGCAAGTACAGTAATTAAAGGATTGCTCAGAATCCCACAGTTGTTCCTGGCAAGTGAGGCAGCATCCTGATGCGAAGGATGTTTCTTTATGCATGGATGAAAAGCAGAATTAGGACAGGGAGCATGTTCTTAAAAATCTAAAGTGACCTTTGAGCTCTAAATCACTATAGAACAGGGAAGCAGCTTTTGGCTGCCAGATTAGCATCAATCCCCTTCCTCAGAGAAGGGAGTGCCTGGGAACAAATTGCTGACAGCTGTTGGAAAGAAGTCTGTTGATTTCACTGAGATGTACTGAGGGCAGCGGGGGCTTGGAGCAGGTTTGGGGCAATAGACACACCTCACAAAGCCAGGAATCAGGTCCTCAGTCGATAGGCTCAGTTGGGAGCCCAGAAGGGTAATTTAGTGTGGGAGATGTACAAAACATGAAGGATTCTGGTTTTGGAAATCACAGTCCTTAAGATCTGTCAGTGCCTACAAAAAAAAAAGCTCTTGCCAGGCCTGAGTACATCTCCAGATGTTTGAGACTGGAGAGGGGATTGTTCAGAGCAGCATCATGGAGCTGGCAGGAGTGCTGCGGGTGGCCCCAGCACAAGCGGTGCTGTGTGGAGCAGTGCTCAGGCCGCTGCGCCAGCTGCTCTCCTCGCCCACTCCAGGTCATGAGAAGACCTTCCCCGATGTCCAGTGGAAAATACCAAGGAAGTACTTATGTCCCACTTAGACTGGAGATGCTTATCGCAGGGGAATGGCTGTGCTCAGAGCTGCATGTTTCCTTCACTGTCACCAAAATCAGGGAGGGCAGCTGGTAGGGGCTGGAGTTTCCTAAGACTCCTGATAGGGCAGCAAACCACCTTTGAGAAGAGAACCTGTCAGTTTTCTTCACTTCTTGTCACAGAAAGGGCTTCTCTGCTGAAGTGATGCTTTCAGAGCCATGCATCCCACAGCCAGACTCTGCAGCCCCATCCTGCCACAAGTTCCCATCTTGCAAGAGCTTCCTTGGCACAGGGATTCGGCTTGCTCTTAGTCATGGCTATGCAGTTACCCAAAGCCACGGTCATCCCTCCATGAGGATGTCTGAATTGGGAACACCTGCAGCGAGGGCATGCACATACAGGGGCTGCTCCCAGTGCCTGCAGCTCCTTCACAGGTTTCTCTTTGTCCAGTCTATCTCTGCAACCTGCCTCTTTCTGCTGGCAGCATCCAGACCTGTTCCCCTCTCCTTTTTTAGTGGAGTTCTTGTAATCAGAGTTTATTATAAATCCACTGGGTCTGGGAGCGGCTTTGGATAGCTATGCCAAAAGTGAACCATATGTGTATTTTTCCTGAACATTGTGCTGACATAAGAAACACCTCTTGCCCTCTGGCAAGCCTTGGAGCAGCAGCTAAACTTAGTAACGTCGAGAAGTGGGGTTGGGGAAGAGCAAGTCAGCACTCACGAGAGCTATGGGAACTGGACATTCAGAAGAGGGAAGGGAGAGCACTGACACCAGAGCCTGGTGCTTCATGCGAAGCTGCCCAATGGAAGGACAGACCCTGTGGTTGGTTTTGTGCTGCAGGCAGTTCCTTGCTCCATCAGGCTGAGCTGTGGGCTCAAGAGCTGAAGTGCTCCTGCTGCCTGTGGCGCTGAAAGCTGAGATGTTCTTAACAACCCTGTACTGACACATGGTTCTTGTTCCACACAGGGGAAGGGGCTGCAGTATTGCTTCGCTCTTTGGAACCTCTGCAGGGATTAGATGCGATGAGAGAGATGCGCAGTGCTTCAAGGAAAGGACCCACAAAGCTGCTGAAGGACTGGCAGCTGTGTAATGGGCCCTCCAAGCTCTGCCAGGCATTTGGGATTGATAAGACTTTTGACCAAAGAGACCTGACACAAGATGCTGCCATCTGGATGATACCTGGACCTGACCTACCAGGGGAGCAGGATGTGGTAGCCACAACAAGGATTGGTATTGGCAACAGGGGAGAGTGGACACAGAAACCCCTCAGGTTTTATTTACGAGGAAACAGATTTGTGAGTGTTGTAGACAAGAAAACTGAGAGAGAGATGGCAGCAATGGGACAGCTTTCTTGTCTTGCAAGTGTGCCACCAAGCAGGACTTGAGCTGTGCTCTGTATTACAGCTGTGTTGTGGCAGCAGCTATGGCAGACAGAGCGACCTGGAGGTTTTTAAACAATAAATGTACTTCATTACAATGAATGGGGCAAGGTGGAATTTTATGTGTGGGGCAGGCTGGCCTATGTCTGCCAGCCAGAACTGAGGTTGGTTTGGGACGTCGAAGGCCACTTTCTCTTGTGCCAATTAACTGCTTAATTAAGGTGGATGAGTGGCAGAAGAGCTGGGAGGAGAGGAGGTAAAGGAGGAATCTTACTGTTGTCTACAGCTACCTAGTGAGAGGGTGTAGAGAAGACAGAGCCAGGCTTTTGTCAGACAGGATGAAGGGCAATGGGCACAAGCCTGAAAACAGGAAATTCTCGTTAGCTGTATGGAAAAAATTTTCACCATGAGAGTGGGCAAACACTGGAACAGGGGCCCAGAGGAGCTGTGGGACATTTGAACCTCCACCAGACAAGCTCCTGAGTGACCTGACCTAACACATTTTCTTTGAGCAGAGTTTTGGACAAAGGATCTCCAGCAATCCATTCGAACCAGGGTTTTGTTTGTTTTCCCAGCTGCTTTTGAAACCAGTTCAATGGAAAACTTACCATTGGGTGAACCACAATACAGAAAGCATCACTACTGTAGCCTGCCATGAGGTACAGGGGGAAGAAAACCTCTACGTTTCAGCGCAGAACCTGCAGCCACACTGGGAAGTTGAGGGGTGACAGGGTCACCCCTACATCCCCACCCTCCCTCACCTCGGAATTCGCAGGCAAGATTTTCAAAACCCTTGTCCCATCATATGAAAAATACCTTGTTTGGTGCCTTCTGAAGAGCCCTTGTTATGCTGATTGCAGGGGCTCACCTTGAGATGCAGTTGCTGGGGGCTGGTAGATCTGATTTTCTAAGTTGGATATTGCTTTTGCTCTTCTGTAACATCCCTCTTGCAGCTGCAGGGGAAGACTCACTGAAGGGACTGTAAGCAGCTGTCATCGGGTATGTGGTGCACTGTGGCCACCAGGCTCCCCTGGCTCCTCACTGGTGGAAGATAAGTTACATAAAGCTCATAGTTTCACCCAGTTTGTGTGGGCAAGTGAAGCTGTTCTGAGAGCCTGCAACTGGGAAAAGCTCCAGCCTGTGTGTGTGTGGTATAAGGGAAGGTCTTAAGGAGGAGCCTGACAATTTTTTAACAACATATACCCCTGGAAGTCACCACCGTGGAGGTAAAGGTCTCCCTCCTGCCCTTTCCCTGGGTACTAGCACAGAGCAGTGAGCAGCTTCAGGGAACAGGGGCCTTGCACAGTCCAGGGGTGAGTTGGCATAAGCTCCTGCTGTCCTCAGAAACAGGGCTGTCCCCTCTTGTAGCCCCAGGAGGGCTGAAGGAGCAGTCCTGAACTAGATCAGGAAACATGGCTATGTACAGACCTGTATCTTGTTTTTCAGCTGGACAGTGTTAATGCAGGCCAAGGTCCCAGTCCGGTTCTCTGCAGCCACAGCCATGCTTGCAGGGATGGGAATAAAGGAAGAAAACAAGCCTCAGGAGAAAAGCCTGAGTGCCCTTAGCACCAGCTGGTGCCATGTACTTGCAGCCTGGCCAGCTAATTTCCATCTTGCTCAACAACCTCCCCAGCCCTCGGAAAAACTGGAAACCCTGAAACCCACAAACACACAGGCTGCTTGGTGACAGCCCTGCTCCAACAGACATTTAGTAGTAAGATACTGGGAAGAGGCAATAATAGGCTGTGACACAGTGAAGGAGTCATTCCCATTCATGAAACCATTTACTTGTGGTGCTTTACCTTCCTACCTCTGTCCTCACTGCTGCCAGATAACAATGATCAAACAGAATTCCTTGGTGCCTGGGGCCATTCCCCTAAAGCCAGGCCAACTCCATTCTGCCCTGGGGCAGAGGCCATGCATGCTCTGCCATGGGGACAGGCTGCTCACAGTGCTCACGCTGAATGACCCAGCAGTCCTGTTAATGAAGAGCAGAGAAAGCACTTCTGAGGCAGCAGCGTCCAGCCAAGGGTGACGTACCTCCAGTAACAGTGCAGTGGGAATCTTCTTGGCCACCCTCACAAGCCCTGAGAGGCCCAGGTCAGGGAGGAGCTCTGCACCAGCAGCTGCCACGCTGTGGATATGGCACAGCAGGAGTCCAGGCTGACCAAGTTGTCCTGGAGCAGGCCCCAGAACCCTCACAGAGACTAGCCTCAGCTGCCACCACAGGCAGCAGATGGGAAACTCAGGCACAGAGGGGGAGAACCTGCTCTGTGCCACATGGCAAGAAGGAACTGAAGTCACCTCCTGCAGTTTTTAGGCATCTTTTATACTGTCACTAGGGAGAGTGTAGCAGGTTCCCATCCTTTGCCATCAGTCACTTTAAGAGGGACTGAAAAACTGAAATCACGGGGTCCTCGTGGCTGGTCACTACCAGCACACTGCGGAACTTGTCAAACAGCATCAGCAGCTGGGAGCGACGCATGTTCTCATTGTACATGATCTCCTCCAAATGGTGCCGGCCCCGGAAATAGTGCAGCAGCCTGTGCAGGAGAGCAAGGGAGCATGTGAGCCAAAAGCAAGTGCACACAGCCAGAACTAATCCTAACACCCTCAAGGTTTCGTCTCCCATGGGACGTAAATCAGAAAGCATCTGGATTGTATCCCTCATTAACATGAGAAGTCAAGTGAATTAAATAGGTTTTTATGTGAGGCATGTCGAGCACAGAAATCCCCTGGAAAAGCAGGGACTCCCCCATTTCATCACTTTGCAGCCACTCTCCTTGTATCAAAAGGTTTCCTAGCCTAGGGATTTCCCAAGATTGTCAATTTTCAGTGTAGTTTTATCTCCAGGCATTGAGGAACCACATGTGCCAACAAGCCTTGAGAAGTCAGGACATGGCGGATTTACTTCTGTACTCTCTTAGCTGGGCCATAGCCGTGCATCAGTCTGGGTACCTACACTTGCTTTTAGAATTAAAAGCCTGTCTTCCCTCTCAGTATCATAAGGGTCTTGGCAACTACAGGTCATGTACTCCTGTGGTTGGTCAGGTTGGGTTAGGTGGAGCAGTGACAACAGGGAGACGGAAATACTAATTACAAGCACTACAGAGAAGCCTTGGGAGTTAAAAAGCTCCCAAAGAGCCCCAAAACACTGAAGCCTAAGCCCAAACAAGACTGGCTTCTTAAATTCCCAGTTCTCTTTCAGTATAGACAGGACAGATACCCCTTTGCTCACCACCAACATGCTACAGACATCAGATAACCTCAGCCCTGCACAGCAAGGTCTAAAACAAACCACTGCAGGAAGTCCCTGATGACTGAGACCCTGTTCCCCAGAGACCCTTCAGACCCTTAACTCCAAGCCAGTCCTCCAGACAAAGCTCAAGTTTGCTGCTTGGTCTCTTAAAACCTCCCAGGTGTAGGAACCGTACTGCACGTCATTCCAATCCTCCTGCATGTCAGGGCCCAAACGCATATGCCAGGATCGCTTCCCCAGCTATACAAACAGATGTGTGTCCATATGCGTTACGCATCATGCTCCGCTTTGTGCTTCAGCAGCTTTTGCTTATGTTTCCATACCAGCTGCGGTTCAGGAATATGGTGGCCTGCTACTTTATGCCAACTGACAGCAGAAATGAGTGGAATTAATTTATAGTCCTCATGCAGAAATAGCCCTCAAAAGACACCAAATGTGCCTTACAGTATTCCTGCCTGTTTTCATATGATGGCAGGATGGCGCCTCTCATGCTTTCCCTGAAGAATCAACGTTCACCTGGCTGTCTCTTGCTGCACAGAATAGGTACTCCTGTCACCTGTTAGCCTTCATGGGTGACTGGAAATGAGACCCCATGCAGCAAGTCTCACTCCATCATGCCCTCTCTCTACACTGCACAGAGCAAGTTTCATCTCTAGTCCACTACTGTTTGTGTTTCTCTGCTCCCCGGTTTGCCATGTCCCTCCTCTCACCTCACGCTTGCTCCCCAAAGAGCTGTGTGTAAGCTCAGAGCTGGGATCCTCATTGCCTCATCCCTTCTGGCAGCCCAGGGCTGTGCAGCCCCACGCACACTGCAGACTCCCTTCTGCTCTGATGTTCATCTGCCAGCTCTCAAGTTGGCACCATTATGTAGAACATAATTGCTATGTCTCTGTACCTGCAGTACAAACAAACAACAGACGGACAAGCTCCAGTCATATTTACCTTTCCACTATCTGGGCTGTGCGTTTGCCTTTTTCAGTATCTCCCACTGGGTATTTAAATCAGGCTAATTGGCTGCTTCTTCCCCTAGGGTGATGGCAACCGCTGTGCACTGAGAAGTGGCCATTAGCAGGGACAGCATTGGTTTGAGTGTGCATATGTCAAAACCAGGCTATCTCCTGAGGTATTAACATGAATTTTTGCTTGTTGTATCTTGTAACACTGTTCAGAAAGTGATTTTGAAATAGGTTTTAAAAGCTGCAGCTTCTCTCCCTTTTACAGAGCTGCTCACTGTGATTGCCCATGCTCTCATCTCCTGCATAGCTGTCTTCTATGCAAATGATTATGACCTGGCTTTCAACAGCAACACAGACTAAGCAGAGTTTTCCAATAAATAAACCCATCCTATATTCAAATGGAGTCTGGATTTGTAACGGGTCAGGATGAAATACTTTCCACTCCAATAAAAGCTGGAGAGGATATTAAAGAATATCACAAAAAATGCCAGCTGGAAGACACCCCCGAAGTCTAGTCCAGCATCCTGCTCCAGCAGGATTAGTGGCAGTGCTGTAGCATTTTCTAGCCAAGCTCTGAAACCCTCCAAGGACAGAGATTCCCCCACATACCTGGATAATCTGTCCTGGGGTGCACCACTCCCAGGGAGGAAGTCTTCCCAAAAGCCCAGCTCTACAAAACTGTAATCTGGGGCTCACAACTCCAGTAAAGATGGGCACTACCCTCACGTTTTGGAGCAAAGAACATTTACAGGACCCAAACAGCACCTAAGATGGCACTTCTTGGGGCAGTAACACTGCATTGTATTGCTCTGAACTGTTGACAGATGTGAACTTCCAGCTCCAGATGCAGTGATGGAAGATTATTGCTTTCCATTGCTCATCTCTCT